GTGCTGGAAAACACAAACCAAGAAATATATATATATATATAGATGATTGTGCGTTGTTTTTGTTATACTTGAGGAGTGGAAACGTATATGGATATTTCGTGCCATCCCAAGTAGAATGATGTTTCTGGAAACTCAAAACAACATGATTTTCCCTAAGCTGGAATGAGTAGACTTCCCCCGCATAGGGATGATGACTTTATTCCAGATGGCAAAAATTGTGTGTGAAAAGGAACACAAATAATGTTGTTTTCAGTTTTCCCTTCATTTCACGTCCAAAACCATGTTGATTGAGTTTGAAAGTTTTTACAATACATCTCATGTGATTTGATTTGAACATGTTTGCCAACGGTCATGTGGGGACATGGGGAATCACATGATTGTATCGCAAGTTGGCTCATCAGCTGAGCATATTTTTTGGACTCCCACCTTCCACACCCCGTCCAAAAAACTGGGATTGGGAAAAGGGGTGGGGTTGCTTCGGGCGCATGTGGATGTTGCTTTGTGAGCCCCCTTCTTAGCGGAGGCGCTGCCCCTAATATTGTGAATCCATGCGACGGAGTTGGAAACGTAGAACTTGACGAACTCCACCCCATAGCCACGCAGGTGGAAAACATTCAGAGATGTGTGCGTGATTGTATTCAGTCGTGCCCAACTGCTTGCGTGATTATATTCAGACATGGCCCAGTGATGCAGATCCAAATATATATATATGTATAGATGATTGTGCGTTGTTTTTGTTATACGTGAGGAGTGGAAAAGGACATGGATATTTCGTGCCATCCCGAGTAGAATGATGTTTCTGGAAACTCAAAACAACATGGTTTTCCCTAAGTTGGAATAATCGTACATAATCATATGGTCTTTGCTGAATACAACGGCAAGGGTTAGGCTTGTGAGTTCCACGACCATTCAAAAACGCGGTAACGACTCAACCTCTGGTGGCAAAAAGCTGTGAAAGCACTGAAATTTCTTAACACACCTACCTGGCTAAAACATGCTCATGCAGGGGCTCATATTGCAAGCTCAGCTTTTCATTTGAAATTCTTCAAACCGGAAATGGATAATGCCCCATCCGCTTGTTTGGGGGTTATTCCGGAGATTGGTCATGTTAGCACATGTTACCAAAGGGTTTTGCCAAAGCAACATGGGCCCAACGGGATGAAGGATGGCATTTGGGGCCCACTCTCTTAATAGGGAAAGCAGCCTCAACATTGCTCATGATATCAAACCTCTTGTATTGGCTATTCATTCGTTGAGCCGACGGTTTGAGTAAGTGGTTCAATCAACAAATTTTTGTCAGCAGATCCTCCGACTGTAATATTTCCATTGGTGAATGATCAATGAGGTATATCTCAAGTTGGTTGTTGGATTTTGCAAGCGGTTGCAACTCAAGCAATGAGCAACAATTTGGTTAGTTGTGACACCAAACGTGTTTGGATCCAGTTTGGTAAAGATCCCCAGCATGGCCATTTTGTCTGGATTTGGTGGTTCTCTTCTTCACGAACACAGCGTACAAGCTGACCAATGGGATCACTGCAAAGCGCAGCAGCTACGTTACCAATCTGCATCATTGGCGGTGCGTCGCCGCTTCCTCGATTGTCCGAGTTGAAAAACAACACCTTCCACATCTTGAAGACGGATGCGGAGGTTGTTTTTCATGAGTTACACGGTATTTTTTTACACTGCCATGTACTCCAGGTATTTCATACCACATTGTAATTTGCAAGGCCCAACTTTAGTTAAGATGACACAATTTTTGTTCAGGGGTGGGTTTATTTCGAAGTGTGCAAGTGTAGAAGCTACGGAGGAAAACGTTAGAGAAATCAACTTTTCACTAAGTTCATCTTCATAATAATGACAACAATATTTGCGTCAAGGGACTTGCACATGGGATGGGGAGAGCCGGTTTCAATCTTTTGCACGTACAGTATCCCCTTGAAGCAGCCTTGCAGGATGGAGCAGGTTGTGGTTTGGGCGACGATTACGAGTTTGTGTTGCGAGTACCAGAACACGGACCAAACCACAAAGATTTGGTCGTTGAGTTCCTTGGCGGAGGCGCATGGGTTACAATAAGAGTCTGCAGTTTGAGCAACTTGCCATTCCGGAGGTGGTTGCTGGAATTACACAACCTGCAACGCTACGACCATTGGATGGCAAGGCAGGGTGGTCTGAAGTTTGTTTTCTAGCTTGTTGACCTGGTATTTTTGTTTCCAGGCCAGGAGACGACCAGATATTGGATGTCACAGAACTTGTTGGCTCCCACCAAAGCCCAGTTTGGGGCTTCTCTCACAATGTGCCGATTTCCACTCTTGGGTGGAGGCATTCGGGATTTCTGCAAAGAAGAAAACCCGTACAGGCACGGCTTGTATTCTCTTGATTTCGTAGTTTTTGTCCAATTGTCTGGTTACAAGAAAGGCGTGAGGACATGCGTGCTCTAGCAGATGTTTTAATGCTGGCTATTGCGAGTTATGTGTTGCACTTAGGACGTGGACGTATTTGAGCCTGTCGTACTGCACGGGAGACCAACATTTAGGGAACAATATTGCAACATATTCCGACGGCAATGGCAACAACATGGTGGTTCGACATCTTGGCGCAGTAAACGTGGACTCTGTACTTACATGGGCCCGCCAACTGCGCCTGAGTTGACTTGGCATCTTTATTTAGATGGCACAACATTGTTGGATTCTGCTTGTGTGCCATGACTGATAACTGCTAACTACATTAGGACAGTGTGTTTCATGCCCATCTGCACAATGAAAGAGAAAAGGGCCAGGCCACAGAACAATCCAAAGCGAGGGTACTTCAGATGACTTTCCAAAAGGGTGTTGATCCAATCGCTTGCTTGTAAAGGGGTTTTCTGATTGATAAGCAAACCCTCCAAACAAGCAGAGATTCTACATAGTCCGGGAATCAAATTTGGGCAACACTTGTTTGGGGGTTGTCAATTAGCTTTCCATTGACAGGATTGATTCCGGTTCTCAATTACTCAGTTCCTGCCTTGCTATTTTCCGTTCAGGCGGAAGTTCGCTTTATTCCATACCCATTTTTACTCTTCCGTTCAGGGATTGTTCCGAACCGATTATTAACCACGACCCAACATCTTTAATCTTTAAAACGGCAAGACAGTGGAAAGGGCCACGAAGGATTTTCAGTTCTTGACACAGGTTCCCAGATTTGCAGCGAATTCACGTCATCGGTGAGTCTGCGGGCGGATGGGCAACCTTCGCATGGGCACGGCAGGTGGGGTGTGCTGGGCAATTGCTTACCGGGGGTTAGCAGGGAAAGAGGGAATATAATCCCTATCCCTATATACCATATTCTCTTATTCCCTACTACCCTCCAGTAAGATTGTGGTTGAATCTGCGGCTGTAGCTACATGGAACCCTGCACGGTGCGCTGCTTCAGGTGGCCCACCGCTGGCCGCAGGCTGTCCCATATCAGCATGTTGCAGCTGCATACATAAGAACAATCGACTTTCTTGAAGAACAGTACCGTTTTCTGGAAACTGTGCCATCTTTCCGCAGGCCAGAGTGGCTGGCTGGTCAGATTCTGCGCTCCACCTGCTTTGTCCCAGCCCGGTTTGTCACCAAGCGCTGCCGTCCCCTTGTGCGGGAGGTCAAGTTTTACAGGCTGTCAGATGTTTTTTTTGTTCTTCCATGCAAGGCTGATGCCTCCTGGTGTCGCACGCTCTTTTGACCAAGGATGGTGGATGACAGTTGGAATGCAATCAATCACTTGGTCGCCCCACCAAGCTCGCAGCTGTTGACTGCAGACGCTATCCGGAAACCGGGCTGGAGCTTGGCAGACTTGATGGTTGAGGCCTTGGAAGAGCTGGGTGGCCGTCTAACTTTTGGTGTGTTTACAAGGTTGGGATTTCAAAAGCATTGCTTTGGTGGTCCATGCGCCAATAACCCATGGGAGTCAGACCTGGATATCACACAGCATTTGCAGTTGCAATATCGCAATGCTTAGTTCTCAACTACTGACTTCATTGTGCCGGGGGCTGAGGGAATACCTCAGGTCTGCTGATGCCTATCAGCGGCTGTACTGGAGCTTGTTTGGAGGCCACTCATTCGAGTGGACATCTGGTATGGTTGCTCTGGTCAATGAAATGGAGCGCAGACTGCCTCCTAGCCTTTTGCGGACATATGTTGTGAGTGGCTCGGACCATTGCATACATAGAAGCGATGATTTGTGGACCTTGCAGCAAGGAGGCCCGTGGGCAAAGTGGGACGAGGTTTCGGGTAAGTGTTTGCCTAGAGACTTGAAATAAGATGAAATAAGCATCATAAGTAGATGGCAAAGACCTTACACCTTACGCATCCTTAGGATAAAAACCCTTTCATTGCAGTCATGCCTTTCGACATTGTTTGTTGGCCGGACCACAGGAGTACGTTTTATCCACTGGCTCGGAAATTTGAGCAGCTGTTCTGTACCAGCTGGCAGTGCGCGTGTTTGGGATCCTGCTGTTGGCTCTGAAGCAACTTATGTTGGTGACGCATCCTGCAACATTCAGCGATGTGGAGGGCATGGATGATAAAGTCTCCGCAAGATGGCCGTGTGAATTTGCGTTGGCCTTTGCCTTCGCTACTTTGCTACTGGCGATGTCTGCCAAGCCTAAGCAGGCAAAGTTTGCAAGCCTCCCACTAAGTGCAGGCTATGCAAGGCCAGAGAGCAGCAAACATGAGAGTGTCGAAAGAGGAAGGCAGATTTCTGGAGCACAATGCAAGAGAATGCTGTAGTTAAACTTTGTTTTCAAGGCGGCCCATGTGCTGACAAGCCTCATCATTGACCTTGTCTGTAAGCTTGGCTAGAGTTTGGTGTTTTTATTTCAACTTCCTGCAGCGTTATTGAAGTAGGTTGGCAAAAAGTGCTGAGATAAATAATTGAAGTCTTTGGGCTTCCTGAAGCCTTGGGATGGCAAGCTTTTAGAACAAGCGATGGTCTACAGGCTACTGCCAGTAGTGTTGCTTAGCGACAGGCCAACATGGCGCTTCCCTCACCGCCTGCTGATTTCGCGCCCTTTGGGCATCCCCACTGTCGGACAGTCCGCCTCCTGATTCGCCTGTGCTCGGGGGGCCTTGGTATCGCAAGCCACTGTCAATTCCTTATGTTACTGTGGGCAACCAAGACTGCGATCTGCTCAAATTCAAAAACGTCCTCATTTCGTTTGACATGGGCGCAGTTCGCGCTTGCATTAGGGAGCCTCAGAGCCCTGGAACTCTCATGTACTCTGATTGACCTCTTTAGCTTTGCACGCCGCATGAAGCGGAACCGTCCTGAGAAGGTTCTTATTGTAGGAGCTGGGCTGGGTGGAATTCAGATGTCGCTGGAATTGATTCGAGCTGGTTTCCGTCCAACGATTTTCGATCAAGGTCGAGAGTTTGGAGGTACCTGGGCAGTAAATGGCTATCCTGGTTGCAAGTCTGATGTGGATGCCACAAACTTTCTCCTGAGTAGCTGGATCGGCTTTTACCGCTTGTGCTGCTTCCGTGGCTTCTCGACTCGTGATACAATGAGATGGTACTGCAATCACTTGGCGGTCACAGCAGGCCTGTTGCCGCTGACGCAGTTCGGTACACGTGTGAACAAAATTGTATACCAAGAGGACAACACGTACCACGTAAGCTACGAAGTCAACAAGGCCATCAAGTCTGATCGTTTCGACTATGTTGTGGTCGCAATTGGAGCACTCTCACAACCGTCATCAGGCCGATTACCTATGCCTCAGGTCACGTCAATGACTTGCCGCCACTCTGCGGAAATGGATGATGACTTTAACAAGAGTTGCAAGGGAAAGCGGGTAGCCGTGATCGGTGGGGCATGCTCTGGCACTCAAATGCTTGGCAGTTTGGTGCGTGAGTGTGGCGCCCGATCCGTGGATATAATCACTGAGACTCCAATGTACTTTTTTCCTGGGTCGGCTGTTGACTGGCCACCCAAACTGGTCTTAGAGTGGATTCTCATATGCCTTCCGTTTGGATTGCAATTTCTGCGGTGGAGCTCAGCAACTGTGACTTCACCGTTGAGGTGTCAAGGAACCAACGAGGGGACAGGAGCAATTGCTTCCTTGATGAAACTCTACACTCGCTACTGTTATGAAAGCATTGCAAGTTCAGATGCTGCGCCGACTCGTCCCGTGAACACAAGTCGCATGGTGGTTGATTATGACTTCTTTGACGCGCTGCTCTACTCGCAAAAGGCCAGGCTTCTCCAAGCTCGCGTCACCAATTGGAAGGATGGTGAGCATGGCGGCGTGCTTCTCTCTTTGAAGCAAGGTGGAATTGAATCTGTCGCGGAGTATGACAAGGCTGTACTGGCGACAGGTTTCCAAACGGACTGGACATTGAAACTTCAACAGCTTGGCCTGACGTCTGGTTCTGCTGACAGCTACTTTGGACTCACCTTGAAGGACCACAACACCGGCAGGCTTTTCTTCATGTATGGGCCAAACACTAACTCAACTTGTGAGCCGATCACCAATCTCCATGAGATCCAGGCATGTGCAATAGTGAAAATGATCTGCAGCGGATTCGTTCCATCAATCAAAGATTACCAGGCCAGCCGCCAGTACATCGAGAACGCTGCGCACCCTAATTTCTTGAAATTTGCTGGCTGGTACATGGCCGGAGGCAATTTCTCCGTGAACTGGCCGACGACTTATGCGGAGTATGCTGAGAAGCTCACGGGCACACCAGCCAGCAAATATGCTGTCATTGGACTGGTCGTGGACATAATTTTCACGCTGTGGTTTTCAACTCAGTTGCCGTGACTGCAACGGTAATTCCGTGGACAAATACACAGCTTCGAACTGCCATCTCGCACTTTGAACAAACGATGAATGCCAAAGGCTGATGGAATGCCCTTCGGGAGTCATGTGCACAATCGTGCTGTCGCAAAGCAGTATTGTTAGCACAAGATCAGGTTGTTTTTCACATTGCTGCGGTCCGTCAGTACACACCCAACTGTCCAGAGAGTTACCTGGGTTGAGCGAGGGCAGGGATTTCTCCTTTGTTGAGGGAGGATAGTGAGTTCGTGTGCATGTATGACCACATGACATGGATGCCATGTGGGATCAAGCGATTGTCCAGTTCGACACCGAACCCCTTACTTGTTTTCAAGATGCTGCGCAAAGGCCCCCCGACCTGTTGTCTGTGACGGCAGGCCTTGTCAACACGCGTTTCCGGCACCTCCTATTTAATCCTTTTTGTTCCCTGTGTTTGCTGGCGAGCTTCACTTCCCTGTTTTGGCAACTGGTTGATCCGTTGCTTGGTGTGTACGCTCATGTTTTTTGATTCGCGCCTGCAGCAAACATGCCAGGTCCTGGGTTGCTGATCTTGACGGCCTTCATGATGAAGACCGCCCTGGTGGCGTCACTGAGTTCGCGGCCAAGACCTTCACTCCAGTGGCGGGTATGGACAAGTCTCCAAACTAGTCCATCTTCTCATGTCTGCGAAATACACCATTCGTTTGTAGCCAAAGCTGGACCCAGATTTTTTTGATACTGTTCGACATCTTTAAGGTAGGTCGCATCAAACGCCCTGTGTGCAGACATCTGTATGTACATACAGATTTACTCAAAAACCATTTATGTCATAGCGGACCCGCAAGTCACACCTGCCAGAGCTACAGTCCTTTGGAGCTTAGGTGGCCCAGAGGCTACAGATGATGTCGCCCTGCTTCAAAGGACGGTCGTGCGTTTGAGCTCTCGAAGGCCGAAAGCCTATGGTGTGCCTAGGACTTGCAATTGACCCTGACTGTTACATAGCATTACATTGACCCTTTGGTGTATGGAGTTGGAATGTCCCTGCTTCAAGGTGACGAAGTCCCTTTGATGTTATTCTTTCAGGAGGCTAAGCAGATACATAGACAAAAGGTCATGTCAGTGCGGAGATGTGTGGAGTTGCTGGCCGCGATGTCATGCAGGACTGGCGCGCCCAATCTGAAGGAGCTTTCAGCTGAAGAGCTGCTCGCGGAAGATGAGGACGCGGAGGACAGCAGTGTGTTCAAGGGGGTTATACAGGGGTTATGTTGGGGTTATGTGGGTGTTATTTGGGTTCTGACCCACTTCAAAGACTGCAGCACGCTGATCTTGGATACAGGATCTCTTTGAGCCCATTGAGCCGGCAAGGGAGGAACAGGTGCAGTCTGGCGACGTGGGCCTGAGTCTTGACCCCAGACTGCTTCAGCTGGCATGAGACCGGTTTTCTGTTTTTTGCAGGGAATACGGGGGATGGATCCCTGCAGTCGTGACTACATCTTCCCTCATAACAGTCCCATAAGCCCATTCCTTCCTTCCCTACAGTCTGTCCTTGCAGCAGCAGGCGGTACTCGGTTTCGGCCGTAAGTCTTCTCGAAGAGAATCAATAACCCCTAGGTGATGAGCTTTCTGATTGCTTACCTTGCTGGTGGTTAGCAGGGAGTGAAGGAATGGAATACGGGGATCATCGTTGGGGCGTATAAGGGACGACTGCGGGAATTCGTGCTTCCATTCCCTACTATTGGCCTTCCAGGCAATGGGTACATATGCAATTGTGGCTGGCATGATGGTTACACTACCGTGTCAGGAAACGGACGGAGCCGGGAAGCTAGATCTGGACTGCATGTCTTTCACGGGAGTGTGTGGGATGCCAGGCCCATGCGTGGTTGCTGGGTCCTGCCCCGAAGCCTGAGCAGGAAGAGAAGCTGCTGTAGACCTTGACGTTCCCAGTACGAAGCCTCAAAAGCTGGGGCACAGGATCTGTTCCAGTAGATCTTCGCTGCCGTGCTTCGCACAAAAGAGGAATCAGGCAATCCACAGCTTATCGGTCTTGCGGTCATGCCTGTGCCAATGACCTTTAAATCTTCTGTACCAAAAGACAGCAGTGGCTGGAGTGCGCCTGCTTCCTCCACGGCATTTGGGCTCCACAAGCCGAAGTCACGAACAGTCAGTACTGGATAGGAGCATTCGTCCTGCAATTTGTCGCAATTATGGGGTGCTGTCAGTCCGTGCCCCAAGCTGTAATTGAACAGGCTGCGAATTTGAGCGCTGCTGTTTGCTTCAAGGTCTGGACCCAATACGAGCGACCCTTCCAAGCCTCTCGGCTAGGGGGAGCTGCAGTTTCACTTGATCTCCGATCATTTCACAGTGCCTTAAATCCTGCAATGCTCAGTTGCCCGCAATTGACGCTACTCAGGCCCGTGTTCCACGACAGGCACATGAGTGACCAGGAGCGAGAAGAAAGGCGGAAGGCCGTGCAACAATGCGAGCTGATAGTTGGCTAGACAAAAGGTCACGAAGCTCATGTGCCAGGCAGCAGCACAGGCGGCAGATAAGCGTGCGCAAGACCAGCCATGCTGACCCGTTTGAAGCGTAGCCGCCGTGGCGAGTTCCTAAACCCTAAACCCTAAGCCCTCAACCCCAAACCCTAAACAGTAGTTTCCATTTCATTTTCCATTATCCCTATATAACCCCAATATACTACCGTAGTTTCCATTTTCTTTTCCATTATCCTTCTATAATATTCTATTATAC